ACGTCTCTGTAATATTAGAATTTTCTGAGACAATGAATTTTGGTTTTTCATTTTTTTCCCCTGTAAGAGGTTTTTATTTAATATAATTTTTGGACAAAAAAATTGCAATGTATCGCCTTGCTTATAGTATCGCAATATATCGGGATATATCGTATCGTGACCCCTCTGTCATGATATGTATCGTATCGCCAAATTCTTGCCAATACACAGCCCTAGTTAATACATTGCAAAAAATACCAAAATGAAAGAAATCAATTGATTAAAAGACTCAGTGAAGTCAAAATTTGATATTATAGAAATATTACAAAGTAATTCAAATTCTGAAACCTTTCAATTGTTATTAAAGTATTTAAGACAGAATCGATTGTATGAGAGCTGTTCCAGTCCACACTCCACACCAGTAGGTGGCGGTAACGCGCCTTAACGTTGTTTGSCAACCGCCAAAAAATAACTAAGAAGAAGAAGAAGAGAAACCTCTGCAGGATTTGACACCAGTGGCTTACTTTAAATTTAATTAATAAAAGCTGTCTCGATTCATCAAAAGACGAAGCTCCTCCTAAACATTTGTTCGTTTTTGTTTTTGGTTCGAGTCAGGTTTGTGTAGTCCCAGCAAAGGCAACTGAAGTAAGTTTTATGAATAAGTTAATCACCTCAGATGTCTTTTTCTTCAGCTGCTGATTGTTGGTGGCTCCTTTGGCCTTCGTGAGTTTACACAAATCCGTTATGAGGAACAGAAGATCAGAAGAAGGGTTTGTATTGAATTACATTTTTATTTAGTTACACCCCTCCACCTTACAYGTTGAAATAAAATAAAAATCTCAGGGTTTAAAAACATTCTGCTGTAACACTGGCTGGTGAGTGAATACTCCTCCAAGTGGTAAAAAAATGAAATCACACCTGTTATGTTCATGAGTACGATGAAAACATTACATTTTAGCACACCCTTTTAATCCAAGTGAGATTTGATAAAGTTTTTAAGAAAATTTATTCTATATTTTAAGGAYCCATCATTTAAAGAAACACTGCTGACGTGCAACACAGGATTTGCAACCTGTTTAGAATAGCTCCACTAAAAAGCAAAATTAAATTACAAAAGCTATATTAGAATAAAGAACTAGTACTCCTTAAAGAAATCACCTGCCACATTTAATAAATTAACAAACTACCACCATATTTTACCTCCATCTGTAAAATATAACTTGAGTTACAGCCATATTTATGCTTTACTAAGAAGATCGTTTTGCTTTAGCGGCCATCTTTTATTGGGTTGACTTTAAAAGTTAATCAAAAGTGCATGTACTGTTTGTATTGTAATATTTACTTTCTGGAAGTTTTAGTAAACTCTGTTCAGTGACTCAACTTATTTTTCTAATGGTACAGACGAACGAACTCAGACATGGGCAACAACATCGCTTCGATTTAGCCAACAGCAGTAGGTGAAAATAACTAATTTATCAAAGTGACAAGTGTTTGTTAATGAGTGTATGTGGTTTGGATGTTGGGTACATCAGTTGCAATTAAAATTATGAGGCGCTTACTAATTGCTGAGACTATTAATTCCCTTGTTTGACAGCTGCAAAACATTATTCATATTGTGGTTCAGTTTTGGTYATGTAGATCTTAGTCAGCCATAAAATTGTGGTGCTCACCTTAGATGAAATAAGGAGCACCAGATCAATTGATGATCAGATTACAGAATTAAGTGTATCTTTTGGGAAATTAATTATGTTAGCACTTAATTTTGCAATGATAATGTGACTATAAACAAATAAGTATGAAGTGTTGATGTCTTTATGACAGTTTTATTTAAAGTCCAGGGGGCGGGTACCATTGGTGGGTCAGGGGTTAGGTTCAGGACTAAGGTATGATTTGAATTTAGATTAGGTTTAGGGTAAAAGGTCAGTGTTACGCTACAGAAATGAATGCAAATTACTCATAAGTATAGTGGTACTAGACCAGGTGTGTGTGTTTATTTGTCTGCATTCCTCCTCCTTCAGATATCTGGAATGTAAGTGTGGTGAAGCTGATTAAATATAAAAATGGCCAATACACATGAGCTTTTACATGCTGCTGAAAATGATCCCAGAGCAGAAGCCGGTTGTTAAATTAACAAGATGGACTTGGGATCAAGCCCACATCGTCCTGTCATTTTTGAAGTTAACAAGAAAATGCATTAAAAGTTTTTCCGACTTCGAGGTGAAAAATACAGCTGTACAAGTTGTTTATACGTATGCTTCGCTCTGTGTGACGTACAGCTGGAGGGAA